GTGCTGAGAACAGACGAGATCAGGAATTTACAGTTAAAACACTAAATATGTTGAACAAAAGAAGCACATTGACAGCAGCAAGAGAGAAACACCCAGCCATACCTAAAGGCAGCCCCCCCCCCCCCAACAGAACATTCTCAGGAGAAACCTTAGAAGGCAAGCACGGGGTTTCAAGTTTTCTTTTTAAAACCTTAAAAATTTTGCACAATGTATTTTCGATCTCTGAGAGTCAGTGATTGCTAACCCATATCGCCATACCCAGCTGAAACAATCTCTCATAATTGAGGGAGAAAGAAAAAATTTTCCATGATAAAAACAAACTGAAGGAATTCATGACCTCTTAGCCAGCCCTAGTGAAGACAGGTTAAAGACTCCTCTGGGCTGAAGGCTAAGATAAATATTTCCAACAAGCTACAGGAAAGAACAAACCACACGAATGGCAATTACACAGAGGGGGGGATACAAAATCCCAAACACCGTTAAAAAATAGCAAGATCCAATACATACCTTTCAATAACTATAAATATCAATTGTGTCAGTTACCCCCAATCAAAAGACACAGTCCAGCAGACGCAACTGAAAAGTGACCCATTTACTTGTCGCCTCCAAGACTGTTAAGTCTTCATCAAAGATGGGGTCAATTTTAGGGTGAAGGGCTGGAAAAGGGATTCCAAGCAAATGGAACCAAGAAACAAGCAACCATCGCTGCTCTGATATGTGACAATTAGACTCAAACCAAAGCCAGTCATAAGACACAAAGAAGGTCAGGTCATGTTACCCGGGGAACAATTAACCCATGAAGAGCAGATTGCAATTTGAAACACACAGCACACTGAACAGTGTACCCAGTTTCATAAAACAAGTGCCACTAGATGTAATGACAAATAAATCCCAACACGGTGAGGTTAGAGGACTTTGTCACCCTGATCTCAATAAAAGACGGGTCATCCTTTCACAGATACCTTTTAGGAAAACAGTGCTATTGATACGAAAACCAGATAAAGACGTAACAACAAAGGGGAAATTATAGGGCAATATCCCCTGATGATCATAGTTGCAAAAAACTTCCAGGGAAAAAACCTTGCAAACCAAATACTGTACATATCAAAAAGACCATCCAACATGGCCGAGTCGGCTTCATTCCAGCGGCACAAGGATGGCTCAGCGTTTACAAGTCAGCAAAGAAATAGACTCAAGGACTGAAAACCCGTGATCATCTCCACAGACACAGCAATGGCTTTTGACAAAAATGCAACACGGCTCTATAACAAAAAGGCCCAGCAAAGCTAGGAATGGGAAAACACATAGGCTACATGTGACAAACCAGTAACCATTATACCACATGGGGGGAATCCAAAGCGTGTTTTCACTAACACAATAAGAGTCCTCATTCCTCTACTCTCATTTAAAAGAGTGCTTGAAATATTAACTGGAGCAATAGGACAAGGAAAGAAAATAAAGAAGATAACCAGAAAGCAAGAAACTGAACCACCCCTGTTTTTAGACGATATACACAAATGATGTCCACGAGACCCTAAAGACTCCATCAGAAAAGTCTTAAAGCTGATTAAGTATTTTCAGCAAAGAGGCAGGATGAAGAGCATGTCCAGCCTCACTCACCATCAGATGAGTGAAAATTAAAAACTCTCTTCTACCTCGCCCCAGCCAGAATAGCAGACATTAAGGAAACACATGCTGACAAACACTGCCTAGGACATGAACAAAAGGGAGCCCTCACGCACTGCTGGAGCAGACGTAAAGTGGTCCGGCCACCGTCCACACAGTCACGCGAGGCTCCCCAGAAAACCATGTCAGAGACAGCCGCCGCACACCCAAGTCCACTGAAGCTCCGCTCACCTAAGTCACAGCACACGCCTAGGCCTCCCACCGACAGCGAGAACGAATAAGGAGCATGGCCCTACTTTCCAACCACACAGAAGAACAGAGTCACGTCATCATCCGTATCAACTGACCAGTCATCGGGTCGGGTGAGGCAAGCCCATCTCAGGAAGATGACTAACTCTTGTTGGCTCTCATTCTCGGGTCCTGGATTTTGTGTAGATAAGTAAGATCACATATATGGCATAAATATGGAAGCAAAGTTGTCCAAGGAAGCACAGAGTACTAAAGGACGGGGGGGGGCTGAAAAGGGACACAGGGGTACAGACAGAATGCACTCAAAGTGTATCATAATTGATGAAAACGTCCTTAGGTGACCCACTAGCACGTACAGTAGGTATGCACCAGTGAAAGCCCTAAAATATATGTTTAAACTTTTAAAACATTCCCTTGAGAATCGTTGTCATCTCCCCAACTCCCTCTGTGTGGTTTCCTCATGTTTGTCTCGATGTGGCAAACGTATTTGGTGTCCCTTCTCTGCCAGTTAAATAGGAGTGCACACCCCTGTCGGTATAGAAAGAAACAATTCTAGTTTCCCAAGTGAAAATCCACAGATGTGTGTCTCGGTGTGGCAAACGTATTTGGTGTCCCTTCTCTGCCAGTTAAATAGGAGTGCACACCCCTGTCGGTATAGAAAGAAACAATTCTAGTTTCCCAAGTGAAAATCCACAGATGTGTGTCTCAGTGTGGCAAATGTATTTGGTGTCCCTTCTCTGCCAGTTAAATAGGAGTGCACACTCCTGTCGGTATAGAAAGAAACAATTCTAGTTTCCCGAGTGAAAATCCACAGATTATTGCCTTTCCAACGTGTTGCCAAGTCCCCTATTCATTCACCTTTATAAACACTTCTCAGACTATATTACTCATCTCCCAGTGCTTTGGTTGTTGCTACAGATCTAGGGACTCATGTCATTTGTATCTTCTGATGACTGTGAGCTTTCTTTTCTTCTAACGAGTGGCAGTAAATGAGATCCAATACAATTGCCAGTCAATTGCTTGTAAACAATTTTTTGGACAGAAAAAATATAAAAGCAAAATATAAGATGACAAAACACTAAGAAGTGGGTGCATTTTATTTTTCGCTCTTAGTGTCATAAACTCTAGACACTTGCAGGAAATGTATGCTGAAATATATGCAATAAATTATTTTTCAAAATAAATCCCAGAAGTATACTCTTTCAAACAATTAGAAAAACAGAAACTAAAGATGAAAATAAATGAAAGAAAATGGAAAATGCTGCAGGGATTAAGAAAAACACAGAAAGAGATGCCTTCTTCAAATCATAAAACATTTTGCTGTATGCTGAAGAATACTTAGTAATCAGGAGAATGCAAACTCAAGGTGGCTCACAATCTGTGATTCCAGTTCGGGGGACTCGGATGCCCTCTTCTGGCCCCTGTGGGTACTGCATGCCTGTGGTGCACATACTTACATTCAGGCGCACGCATATACAAATAGCATTTTTAATTAAGAATAAATAAAAATGAACCCTTTCCTTAAAACGGGAAACAGGCCAAACAGCCATTAACATGGAACACTTGGTGTAATTAAGATACATTTGACCACTAATGCTATGCAACAGTTAAAATCTAATGGGTCATCTAATTCTGATGTGCTTTTATAGAGTACAAGAAAACTATTTTTATTACAAAATGTATTGATATTGCCTATGCAATTGCAAATAAATAAAAATACCCTTAGAAAAACAAATGAGTAAGGAA